ACTTGCCCTCCGCATTACAGTCTGCCGCCGGACTGTTCATATTCGAGTTCATGTACGTGTCCCCTGTTACCACTGCAGCCGCTGCCGAAGGAATAGCAGCTGCCTTAGTACCAAACTTGACCGATGTCGAAGTCGAGCATGTGGTGACCACCGAACTGTTCGAAAATCCACCAACACGAACGGAAGCCCCTGCTGCCGTTGTCGACGACGAAGCAAGATCCACACAGGAGTTAGCCAAGCTTGCCACAGAAAGCGATGTTGCGAATGACGAAGATGCGGCTACTGCCGATGGACACTGTGAAGCGCAGTGCACTGACGTAGCCATGCCTGTTGTTACTGATGAGCAACCGTTGCCGTTGTTTGAAAAAGGGAACTGCGGAAATGGACTAATCATTTGGCAGTCTACTCCGGAATCTTAAACAACACAAATTAAACGCAGTTTCGCAAATGAAATGCACCACCACAACAGCATTAAAAACCAGCAATACATTTTATGTCAAATGTGGAAACTTTCGCAACAACAGCTCTGAGTTCACTAAATCTTGCTGCAGCAAGGATGACAATCAACCTGGTGTTTACTACACAAGTTCAATCGCATACCCCAGTTAAAAACTTCTAAGCTGGGCTACCTTTTAGTGGAAATTCAAAACAATGCATAAACACGATACACGATAATCTACCACCTCAATTTAAGCTCTTAAAATATTTCCGTACATGAAATCTCTTAAACGAAGTTAAAAACGTCTATAAAAGGTATAAAACATTTATGAAGCAATATTATTTGGCGTAAATCTGAGCTCAGTAACCAAAATTAATTTTAACTCGTTAAAAAAATGCCATTTTCCGGTTTACACGGCATAGTCGTGTCCCTTTGCTTCTCGATATGGATCCATGAGAAGATGCCTACGTGCGTCTGAGGAAGTAAGGATGCAGTAAGTGCTGAAACTTAGAAGTTAGGCACATTCATCATTTATGTAAATGAAAGTGCTGCTGCCGATAAACAAGAAAAATCTATTTAGCACTATGAAGAGAATCAGAATCTACCTTTCAAGGATTAGAGGCACCAAATGAATGCAGAAATTTCATCACACAAATGGCCTAAACGTCCAACCGCAAAGATTTTTTATCTCGTTACTAACTTACCGACATAAACATCACTTAGTTTATACAATAACGAAACAGCTACACACGTTATAGTCATCCGAACGAGGAACAAAAAGTGGTGGCAACCAGCATTCCATGTCTGCCTTGTTTATTACTTCTAACGTCTCGGGAATCCAACCATTAGTCAAGATATACAAGACTTTCGGGACACCTAATATAAACTTACGAACAGTTTCAAAGACTTATCAATATATTATTTTCAAACATTGAGGCAGTCAAGAGGCAATCATGAACATGGCTTAGATCTGTGAGGTCCTGAAAATTTTCGTCCGCTGACAAAGAGAAACAAGCAGGTCGGTCGAAACCTGTTTGAATTGTACATTGTACCAGTGCAAGTTAGCTGTAATAAATTATTTATATTTATATATCATGCCGTGAATTCAGTCGGCCCAAAAGAGCATTACTCATATCTTCAGTTTTTAACATTCTTACTGTTGCAACCACAATACTTACAAATTACGTGGCAACCTTAAAAAGTTATCTGAGAAACAAAAGTGTATTTCATTTGTGGTTAATTTTTGCCAACCCCGTTATTGTTATCCATAACATTTCGAAACCACATCACCGATTTAAAGAAAATGTTATTCGATTCAGTTGCAGATTTTAGAAAATCTCTGTAGAGTTTTGTTCCGCCCTGCTGCAGCATTGTAGGCTACGTACAAAGTTCCTGCTCGACGCGGCAAAAGACAGACGCGAAAAAGCTTCACGCGTTAAAGTCAGAGACGGCTTTTCAGCACGAAATGGGATGATTTCGTCCTTAACACAACGGCGCCAAATTAAGTGGACTATCACTTATCCCTTATCACCAACATAATCGACTGCCGCAAGACCGCTTTGTGTGGTCACGTGTTGGGACTGACAACAGAGATTTCTGCATAAGCAGAGGCGGAGGGTCATTCAACATTCGCAACTGGGTCCAAAGGCTGCCATGATGCCTACATACCAGAAGCAGACGGCAAAACACATGGACAAAACAGCTTGCTCGATTAAGCTTCTCGGT